TCTGCTGCGTATACCTTGATACATACTGACACATCTGTGTCCTGGCCACATTGACCTCAAGACATCAGGACGTGGATCTGCTGGATGTGGAGCAATGTGCACACTCACACGGGTTGTATAGTTGTTGTGATGCGGCTTTTATTAGCAGCCAGAGTCCCAATGAAAATTCTCGGAGCTGATCCCTTGCTCTCTCCCTGGGGGATCACTGTCACCTTGTTGCAACAAGGTTACTTAAAGGAGAACTATGGGGTCAGTGTTTTTCCCCATAGTTCTCCTTAGGGTCACGGGAGGACATATACTAACCTCCTCCCGTCACCCAAAGCTCGGTATATAGGGAGCTACAGCTCGTGGTATACTGAGACCACCGCAGCCGGGACGGATCCCGACATCGATGTCGAGATCCACCCAGCTGCGTGAGTGACAGCTGGCTCTGCCTATCTAGAGGCAGAGCCAGCTGTGCCCGCCCCCTCCCCCGTCCGTTCCGCCAGTCAGCGCTGGAGGATCGGAGAGGGGAGGGGGGGAATCCCAGCAGTCAGTCACTGATCTCTGCAGGGACAGGATCGGGGAGTGAGCGAGCAACTGTATGTGTTCGCTCACTTCCCGATCTATTGAGCCGACCTGCGACAGACTCATTGACACAGGTCGGCTCGAAGTATGAGGCTGAGTGATTTTCCCTCCCCTCATAGTTCTTTTTTAAAGGTCTTTTGGGAGAGGAAAACTAAACTCCACCAAAGGAGTGTGTAATAATCTAAATTCATATTAAAAAAAGTGACTAATTCGTTTTGATCAAAAATCTGACAGTTAAAGTCACTTCCCTTTTCAGCAGACTGCCTTGTCTCAGGAATGGATACACGGTGTCTGTGTATAGGCTGTAACCTGAGCCAGCACTACAGGAAGAGGCCCTCAGCTGAAAAGGGAAGTTCTCCCCAAGCATGAGAACAGATACATATTTAAAAGGAAGAGCAGCAAAGAGAAGGGAAACTACCATGGGTTACAGTAAGGCGCACATTACACTATTGGTTTATGTTAAAAAATCTGAGGGTTTAATGTCACTTTAAGGCACAAAAACCTTTATCTCGTCTCTGACATTGCCTTTCATTGTCTTCCCAGATCTTCAGTCTGGACCTGGGTGGCATCTCCACTGTCGTTCTGAATGGTTATGATGCGGTGAAGGAGTGTCTGGTGCGCCAGAGTGATGTCTTCGCTGACCGCCCATCCCTGCCACTATTTCTTAAGCTGACCAAGATGGGAGGTGAGTATAAGGATTCCAAACATTATGACCTTCGTCATTGGCAAAAGCCCAACTCCAAGATTTATCCAACTTTCCCTCCAGAGCCGCCATTTATAGACCGGATACACCCTAAATATAGAGCCATTTATCCAACTGTCCATCCAGAGCCGCCATTTATAGACCGGATACATCCTAAATATAGAGCCATTTATCCAACTGTCCATCCAGAGCCGCCATTTATAGACCGGATACATCCTAAATATAGAGCCATCTATCCAACTGTCCATCCAGAGCCGCCATTTATAGACCGGATACATCCTAAATATAGAGCCATTTATCCAACTGTCCATCCAGAGCCACCATTTATAGACCGGATACATCCTAAATATAGAGCCATTTATCCAACTGTCCATCCAGCGCCGCCATTTATAGACCGGATACATCCTAAATATAGAGCCATCTATCCAACTGTCCATCCAGAGCCGCAGGTATTGTACAAAGGAATAAATAAAGCTGTTTGTAGTTTAAGGTATAAACCCCGTTACAGATTCCCATTTTGTGACTCATATTTTAGGTCTATTGAATGCAAAATATGGGCGCTGTTGGACGGAGCACCGGAAGTTGGCGGTGAGCTGTTTCCGTAACTTTGGATATGGTCAGAAGTCTTTTGAAAGCAAAATTTTGGAAGAGTCTTTTTTCTTCCTGGACACCGTGGACACCTATAAGGGGAAAGCCTTCGACCCGAAACACCTGATCACCATCGCCGTCTCCAACATCTCCAACCTCATTCTGTTCGGGGAGCGCTTCCGGTACGACGACAACGAGTTCCAGCACATGATCGAGATCTTCAGCGAGAATATCGAGCTGGCGACCAGCGCCTGGGTCTTCCTCTACAACGCCTTCCCCCTCATCGGTATCCTGCCTTTCGGGAAGCACCAGCAACTGTTTAAAAATGCCGCCGAGGTCTACGACTTCCTCCTGCGGATAATCGAGCGCTTCTCGGAAAACCGCAAGGCGCATTCGCCGCGCCATTTCATAGATGCCTATCTGGATGAAATGGAGAAGAATGCCGCAGACCCGAACAGCACGTACTCCACGGAGAACCTGATATACTCTGTTGGAGAGCTAATCATTGCCGGAACTGAGACCACGACCAACGTTCTGCGCTGGGCCCTGCTCTTCATGGCTCTCTACCCCAACATTCAAGGTAGTGCTCCCTATTCACAGCGCGATAGTTCCACATGAAATCCTTTTTTTGTTGTTTTTGTTCTAGGTTAAAAAAAAAATAAGGCTCCCACTGTGGGATCCCTGTGCTGAGTTCCCGGGTGTGTACCCCCGCTGTGCCCATTATGAGGGCCCCCCACCATCCCTGTGCTGAGTTCCCGGGGCTGTCCCCCCGCTGTGCCAATTATGAGGGGCCCCCCCCATCCCTGTGCTGAGTTCCCGGGGCTGTCCCCCCGCTGTGCCAATTATGAGGGGCCCCCCCCATCCCTGTGCTGAGTTCCCGGGGCTGTCCCCCCGCTGTGCCAATTATGAGGGGCCCCCCCCATCCCTGTGCTGAGTTCCCGGGGCTGTCCCCCCGCTGTGCCAATTATGAGGGGCCCCCCCCATCCCTGTGCTGAGTTCCCGGGGCTGTCCCCCCGCTGTGCCAATTATGAGGGGCCCCCCCCATCCCTGTGCTGAGTTCCCGGGGCTGTCCCCCCGCTGTGCCAATTATGAGGGGCCCCCCCCATCCCTGTGCTGAGTTCCCGGGGCTGTCCCCCCGCTGTGCCAATTATGAGGGGCCCCCCCCATCCCTGTGCTGAGTTCCCGGGGCTGTCCCCCCGCTGTGCCAATTATGAGGGGCCCCCCCCATCCCTGTGCTGAGTTCCCGGGGCTGTCCCCCCGCTGTGCCAATTATGAGGGGCCCCCCCCATCCCTGTGCTGAGTTCCCGGGGCTGTCCCCCCGCTGTGCCAATTATGAGGGGCCCCCCCCATCCCTGTGCTGAGTTCCCGGGGCTGTCCCCCCGCTGTGCCAATTATGAGGGGCCCCCCCCATCCCTGTGCTGAGTTCCCGGGGCTGTCCCCCCGCTGTGCCAATTATGAGGGGCCCCCCCCATCCCTGTGCTGAGTTCCCGGGGCTGTCCCCCCGCTGTGCCAATTATGAGGGGCCCCCCCCATCCCTGTGCTGAGTTCCCGGGGCTGTCCCCCCGCTGTGCCAATTATGAGGGGCCCCCCCCATCCCTGTGCTGAGTTCCCGGGGCTGTCCCCCCGCTGTGCCAATTATGAGGGGCCCCCCCCATCCCTGTGCTGAGTTCCCGGGGCTGTCCCCCCGCTGTGCCAATTATGAGGGGCCCCCCCCATCCCTGTGCTGAGTTCCCGGGTCAGTACACCCGCTGTGCCAATTATGAGGGGCTCTCATCACGACAGGTTTCCTTTGATCGCCATGCTCTGATCTCTGACTAACTTTCTTCTCCTCTGATAGGTCAGGTGCAGAGAGAAATCGATTCCGTGGTCGGACCAAACCAGACCCCAACCTGTGCCGATCGCCCCGCCATGCCGTACACCGAGGCCGTCCTGCACGAGATCCTGCGATTCTGTAACATCGCCCCGCTGGGGATTTTCCATGCCACGTCTAGAGACACTGAGGTCAGAGGCTACTCCATCCCTGAGGGTACCACCGTCATCACCAACCTCTACTCTGTGCACTTCGACCAGAAGTATTGGACCGATCCGGAGATTTTCTACCCGGAGAGGTTCCTGGACGGCAGTGGCCAGTTCGTCAAGAAAGAGGCCTTCGTCCCCTTCTCTCTGGGTGAGCCACGGACTGCCAGGCTAAAGAGAACCAGTCGCGTCAGGTTTTCAGTCAGCAGAATTGTTCAGATTTGCCAATGAAAGATAATCTTGTGCCCAGAGGCGTAACTAGCGACCTCAGGTCGCCTCCTGACGTACGGGTTTTATACGCGCGAGCCGATTGGCTGAAGATGACATTTTTCATCTCAGCACGCTCGGCTATGCTGACGTGCCGGGGAGAAAATTACATGACGCACTGCTCGCGAAGGCTCCGCGCAGCTTCCCGTTCAGTGTGTCACAGCCTTAAAAGGCAGCAGAAGGTGCCATATACTCAGCTGTCCGGTGGCCCGGGTCTCTGACCTCCCCTCCATATAATGTCTGATCCCAATGTCCTCCGCCATGCCCCGGCCTCCTATCCTCCGACCCCGCTTCGTCACTACAGAACGCAGTACAGGACTCTGCAGTGATGATGTAGGGGGGTTGGAGCACAGAACCTCGGCACGTGGCGGGGGACAAGGCGCTGCGAGAAGTATTGAACGATACCCCATTTTTTTGAATGATTATTTCCTGTTTTGCAGGCCGCCGGCACTGTTTGGGTGAACAGCTCGCCAGAATGGAGCTCTTCCTGTTCTTCACGGCCCACCTCCGGCGCTTCCACGTCCACTTTCCACACGGCTCAGTGCCGAACCTGAAACCAAAGCTTGGCATGACCCTGCAGCCGCATCCGTATCTGATGTGTGCCGAGAGACGTCAGAGGTAGGACCGAACCGCGGCTGCTTTGGGCGCGACTCTCTTTCGTGTTGCCTTATCCTGGATCACTGACCGCTGGCAGCCATATTGGTTCTCCCCGACCTATGTATGTGGTTTTTTCTTTCCTTACATCTTGAAACGATGACGCGGGGCTCGGAAAGCATGTGCAGGGATCTCACTCTCATGGATTACTGGATGTGTGACTATTTACTTGTATTCTCTCCCCGTCAGGGCAGATGTGTTAGGCCGCGGACCCCCATAGGGGCCGTCCTGTGTAAGTTCAGTCCTGCTAACAGACATTACTAAATCTTCTGATAAATATGAAGTGCTCCGTGAGGGTCCAATGGCTTTGTTCATTATTAGTTCTGCCCTTTTCCAGCAGCCTGGTCAGTTATCAGCCTAAAACATCTGCTCTGACAGGGAGGGAATACAAGTATGTAACAGCACGCAGCGGTAAGCCTGCATTATAAGTAGAGATTCAGATTGTTACAAATGCTCATTCCTGATTGGCTGGTTCACCATAAACGCACTGATATTACATTAAGCTTTAACGTGTATCTAAAAAGCTTCTGCTTGACAGTCTAACCCGGTCCAAAATCAAGTTACTATGGTCCCACCATGGTTCTTTACCTTCCCAGACTGAGCCAAAGCTTTCTTCATTCTCACACGCACCCCTTCCCAGACACTGCAGCTCACAGTGGGAGGGATTCAGCAGCAGAGGCAATCCAGAAAGCAGTGGGCGGGACTAGGTGCTGATTGACAAGCTGCAGGCTTCTGAATCAGCAATGACAATGTCCTGATCCCTCTATATAGATCTATCACTAGAGGGGTCCCAGCAGGAGGAAGGAGGTCCTGATCCCTCTATATAGATCTATCACTAGAGGGGTCCCCAGCAGGAGGAAGGAGGTCCTGATTCCTCTATATAGATCTATCACTAGAGGGGTCCCCAGCAGGAGGAAGGAGGTCCTGATCCCTCTATATAGATCTATCACTAGAGGGATCCCCAGCAGGAGGAAGGAGGTCCTGATTCCTCTATATAGATCTATCACTAGAGGGATCCCCAGCAGGAGGAAGGAGGTCCTGATCCCTCTATATAGATCTTTATTATCACTAGAGGGATCCCCAGCAGGAGGAAGGAGGTCCTGATCCCTATATATAGATCTATCACTAGAGGGGTCCCCAGCAGGAGGAAGGAGGTCCTGATCCCTCTATATAGATCTTTATTATCACTAGAGGGGTCCCCAGCAGGAGGAAGGAGGTCCTGATTCCTCTATATAGATCTATCACTAGAGGGGTCCCCAGCAGGAGGAAGGAGGTCCTGATTCCTCTATATAGATCTATCACTAGAGGGGTCCCCAGCAGGAGGAAGGAGGTCCTGATCCCTATATATAGATCTATCACTAGAGGGATCTCCAGCAGGGGAAAGGAGGTTCTGATCCCTCTATATAGATCTTCATTATCACTAGAGGGGTCCCAGCAGGGGGAAGGAGGTCCTGATTCCTCTATATAGATCTTTATTATCACTAGAGGGGTCCCCAGCAGGAGGAAGGAGGTCCTGATCCCTCTATATAGATCTTTATTATCACTAGAGGGACATTTAGAGAGAACAAGTCCAGAGAGAGTTCTGTGCTTAGTTCAAAATGCGTCAGGACAGAATTTTGTTCCTGATGCTTTAAGAAAGGAAGAATATTATTTTGCATCTGGTGTGTTGTATTCTTGTTGCTGGAGTCCCTCCCCCATTCTCCCTGCAGCATGGAGTCCCCCCCCCCAGTGGCGTAACAATAGCCATAGCGACCCAGGTCCGAACGCACCGCTGTTCAGATCACCGTGATCTGTGCAGCGCTGCGTTCTTCTCAGTGGCCCTGCTTCCCCCCCCCATTCTCCCTGCAGCATGGAGTCCCTCGCTCCCCTGACCAGTTGGGGGTTCCTAGTCTCCATCCAGATCAGGGAGGAATTTGCGTCCTCTGCAGTTTTCGATTCCGCAGTCATTATTTTGTTTTATATACAAACACTTCCGGAACATATTTATAAAGTAGTGACTCCGACATTCAGCAAACATTCACTGCAGGTGAACCTTCCAGGTGCAAGTTTTAATTGGCAGTGATTGAATGTTTGGTGAAAAGTCTCATGTTGATGTATTGTCAGTATATTGTATGTACTCCATTCATGTCACAAAATCCTATTTATAGATATTCAGATTATTGTTTTTTCTTCACTTTTCTAACAAAATAAATATTTTTACTCATCAGTGTCGTCTCTGAGAGTATTCACCCCGAATGAGGGCAGACTCCATAGCAGTGACCACTGATCCTCCGGCACTTAAATCTGAATCCCGGCCTTCCCTTCAGTCTTCCATCCGACCTCCGTCCTCCCCTTCAGTCTTCTATCTGACCTCCGTCCTCCCCTTCAGTCTTCTATCCGACCTCCGTCCTCCCCTTCAGTCTTCTATCTGACCTCCGTCCTCCCCTTCAGTCTTCTATCTGACCTCCGTCTTCCCCTTCACTCTTCTATCTGACCTCCGTCCTCCCCTTCAGTCTTCTATCTGACCTCCATCCTCCCCTTCAGTCTTCTATCTGACCTCCATCCTCCCCTTCAGTCTTCTATCTGACCTCCGTCCTTCCCTTCAGTCTTCTATCTGACCTCCGTCCTCCCCTTCAGTCTTCTATCTGACCTCCATCCTCCTTTAACAAAATGCTGTTTGCTTGGCTGCCATGCCGGCCATTTAGCGTAACTGACCTGAGTATAAAGACGAGGATCTGCAGCTTTTCTCTGCCGTTCCTGGCTGGGGGAGGGACCTTATGACGGCCAGGCAACTGACATACTCAGCAGCTCAGACATAGGAGCCCATAATTCTGCCCTGCCCTGAATGATTTCAATGTCAATCAAAATAAATTTCATCACTTTAAACACTTTTTTTTTTTCAAACTACAGAATTTTATTAGCAGAAAGGTGTGGGGGAACTCCGAGTGTCACACGTGGTGTCCG